GTATTTTCTTTTAAATTATTTTATTTTTAATATTGTAATTAATTTTCTATTTTGTTTCTTGCAAAACATCAATATCTTCCCAAAACTTTTCATGGCCTGAACACTGTTGAGATCAGAAGAGAGGGAGAGACTGAGAGAGTTTCTCTTCTTCTTCAAACTTCATAAGGAAACACACTTCACAAAAATTTTCCCACTCTTTCCCTCAGTTTCCCTCACTTCCCCACGCTGTCTCGCTATCCAAACATGGACATAACAACCAATCTCCCCCGCCTCGACATCCGGTCCTCCTTTTAAACTACCTTCCAGCCCCGTCTTCGGCCATTTTACGCGGCGAAACCCTCTGCACCACTCAATTTGCTCCCAAAACAACAAAGACTCAAAATCACCGCCCAAGTCTCCACAACCATGCTCGAAAAATCGCCTGCTGAGACCGCCGAAAACGACATCGATCGTTGTTCTCAAAGGACTCCGATGACAACAATTTTGACTACAAGAACGCGGAAACGGGAAACAATCAAACGGCGCGTCGAGCGTGTCGTCCGGAGTGAAGCTGGAGAATATAAGCAGAGTTATAAGGCGGACTGTGTTAAAAAACGTAACTTGGGAGGTTAAGAAGGAAAAAGTCGGGTTAGTGGGTGTAAATGGGGCGGGGAAGACGACCCAGATGAGGATAATTACGGGTCGAAGAACCCGATTCGGGGATTTGGTGAGGGCGAAAAGTAATATGAAAATCGCGTTTTTGAGCCAAGAATTTGAGGTTTCGATGACTAGAACGGTGAGGGAAGAGTTTATGAGTGCGTTTAAGGAGGAGATGGAGATTGCCGGGCGGTTGGAGAGGGTGCAGAAGGCCATGAGGGGGCGGTGGAGGATATGGAGTGTGGGGGAGGCTGTTGGATGAGTTTGACTTGCTGCAAAGAAGAGCTGGGGATGCGGACTTGAGTGTGTTGGATTCGAAAGTGGTAAGTTGATGCCGGAGTTGGGGTTTGTGCCGGAGGATGGAGATAGGTTGGTTGCTTCGTTTAGTAGTGGGTGGCAAATGAGAATGTCGCTTGGGAAGATTTTGCTGCAGGTATATTTTGATGAGAAGTTTGTGTTTATCATTGTTTATGGTTACTCTTTTATGTTATGGCTTACATGATGAAGATTAGTTGGGCAAAGTTGATTAGCTTAACTATGAGAGTGTAGTCGAAGGAGCTTACTTCGCTCTGAAGAGCATGTTTAAATTTGAGTTTGCTAAACAAGCTTGACTGTGGAATAGCCAGTTTCAGGAGATGCTTTTTCGCTTTTATGGTTGATTGTGTGAGATAATTATATAGGACGCAGTGAGGATGTTTGGTGCTGAGACGCTCGAATGGAAGTTGTTCTAATTCTTGGATTATTGTTACTACTGTAGGGTTGCAATTGACGTTATGAATATTATTTATGGTTTTGCTATGATGTGCGGTTTGTTGTTTATAGTAAGTGTAGATGACATTTATTATAATGCCTGGTATTGATGGTTCATTGTTGATGTATTTCTCTGTCTGCAGGATCCAGATTTGTTACTTTTGGATAGCCTACAAATCACCTTGATCTTGACACGATAGAGTGGCTGAAGGTTACCTCAGCAAGCAAGATGTGCCAATGGTTATCATATCTCATCAGGGCTTTTCTTGATCAGCTTTGTACGAAAATTGTGGAAACTGAAATGGGTGTGGCTAGGACTTATGAGGGAAATTATTCTCAGTACTTCATACAAAAGGCGGCATCAATTGAAGCTCAGTATCTGCTTGGGAGAAGCAGCAGAAGGAAATTGAGCAGACAAAAGACTTAATAAGCAGGTTAGGTGCGGGCGCAATTCTGGACGTGCTTCTTCTGCTAAAAGGTACACTGAGATATACTGATCTTACTTAGTAGGGTCTGAGAACTGTTATGACCTGTACTAATCAATAATTGTTGCAGCTCTTTGATATTATCAGCATTTTGTTGTAAACATAAGTTAGGGACATCACTGCAAGCATTTTTTCATCGTGAATTGCAGAATTCATACACCTAGCACCACTTTCCTCTGGAGATCTTGAATTTATATCTTCCATGAAATGCTTTATCTCATAGCATTCTATACTTATGATTGAAAGTCTGAATTCATCCACATCTTTTACTAATCAGAGACAATTCTATTTCAGTCAATACTCAATGGTTCGATTAATGGATTTTCATTTCCCTCTTTGATGCAACAATCGTTGAGCTGGTTTTTTTTTGGAAAAATTATTTGTTAGTCATTTGATACAACTATGATTAAATTGTCTCCTTCATTTTGCACAGTTTTTCTTAGGGGTGATTGGGTCTGGGTATCCTGGGAACCGGAACCGGAACCAGTCGATTCCTAAAATTAGGAACCGAACCGGTCGGTTTTCGTAACATTGTCGTATATTAACAGTATCAAATATGTAAACTTTATAGATAGGTTTATTTTTTATTTTCTGAGATCGGTTAATATGAAACATATTCACTATTAATTATATGGTTTTTAATTTTTTTTTTAGTAATTCTCAGAGATGGTGAACACGTCAATGGTAAATGCAATAAACTATTAAAATTAAAAGAAAAAATTATATACCTTTAAAATTACAAAAATCTCATAGAAATAGCACACACGTGGGTGAATCCCATGACATATAGATCTTTGAGGGGCTTAAATGTTTGGATTTTATAGTTAGGTTGGAATACAATTGGGCCACAAAGATTTTTTTTTTTCCCTTGTCTTTTGGTAGCTCGAAGCTTGTCATAAATGACTCATCTCCCTCTTGGTGACAACAATATCAATATATGAAATTTACATATATCTATGATAAATTTAAGAGTTAAGATTAACCTCCGGAAGTTTAATTAAATAATAAAAATTTATTTACCGTTAAGTTTTAAGTGTTATAATAAATGGCAAAATGATAACTTATAACTATGTAACGTCTAATGATAGACTAACGGTTCACTAATGAGATATTTTTGTTATTTAGGAACCTTCGAGAAAATTTTTGTTTCGTGAAAATTGTCAAAATCTTACTAGAATTAGGTCCACTTTGTGGCTTCTGACCCAATATATATATATATTTTTTTTAACCTATGTGTCCAGATAAATTTGCGTGTATCTCAACTAATCTTAATGACACAAATGTGATAGGTGACATTTTTGTAGCGACTCGAAGACAAGTCCTTTATGTAAGCCACCCAGATAAACTAAAGTCTTGCTGTCCCGGGACAAGGCTAATGGTCATGTGTGCCAAACTTTGTTGCCAACATTTTGAAAATCAAGCTCCTAAAATTAAAATTTAGTGTACAAGACATTATAGCTTATAATAATTCCTATGGTCCATGGCAAATTATTTGTCAAAAATGGACAAATCTCATTTAATTGACAATTATTTTCCTTTACAAAGTCTTCTCGACCACGAAGATTATAAATTACTTTAGAAATAAAGAATACCAAGACAGAGGACAAATTCTTCAACGTAGAAAATTTGTCAAAGATTCTCTCGTTAAAATCTTGTTCAAACATGATAATTTTAATATCAAAGAGATTTCTCATTTTCAATGTTGGACCCATTTGAGAGGCAATGGGGTCATACCCCCCACTCTCAAGCTTTTTTAAACTTTTGTTGGTTTAGTCGTAGTTCTATTCTGTTTTATATAAAACGTGTTTGTGTTTTTAGATATTAAAAAACATTCAAAACATATTTGATTTATGATTCTAGAGAACATAAGTGTTTACCTTCATTGAGTGAGGTGTAGTGGCTAATTTATCTATTAATGAGGGGGAAATTGATAAAATCGATCACGATTTGAAAGTCCATAAAGTGAAGGCCCAAGGAGCCCAACAAGATTTTTTGGGCTACCATTACTATGAGCTAGAGCACAAGAATATTCATCCTGAGAGAATTTTATTTTGATCCTTGAGATTTAGATTAATTAACACTTTAGTTCCTTAAAAAGAACTGTTGGTCATTGTAAAATCAGAAAACAACACATTTAGGTCCCTTAAACAAGGACTAAAATAACACATTTCAACTTGAGCTGAGCTGACACAAGCGGCGTCTTGGTTTCGATTGGCAGAGTTTTGGCCGAGCAATTTGGCTTCGACGCTGAGAACGATTCATGTCATCATGGATTTGCGAAGCCTAAAACACCTCTCGCTTGTATTGTCTTCAGGCGAGAAATGAAGAAGGTTTAATTTTGGGCTGGATTGGACTGGGCTGGGCTGGGCTGGGCTTTTAGATCCAAGAAGCCATATTGGGCCCGATACCTTGGACTTTATAAATTTTGATAAGAAAGGCATTATTTAATTTAAAATAAAATAATAAAATTGTGATTTATAATATATATTTTTCGTAAAGTATGAAAAGATTATATAAACACGTGGCAAGTTTAGAGTCTTGCATTAAATTACACATGGCAGTAAAGTACAAAAGGGTCTCACTCACTAAATTTCAGCCAACAAAATCTACACCACAAGACTTGTAAATTCATTATCTCCAATTCTCCATCAACTATCAACTTTGTGCTTCTTGGCCACAAAATTATTTAATAAACATAATAAATAAAAAAATTAATGACTAAATAATTCCCTCTTAATATTTATGTATAAACTAATTTAATAAATATATTTTGCAATAATATACAAGTCCAGGTTGTTTGCATAATTTTTTGTGAATTTTTCTTTTTGTTTGGTTAAAAAATATATAAAAAAAGTCTTAGTTTTTACTTATCAAAAAATTTTAATATATAAAAATAGATCAAATCAAATTTATGAAATATATTAAAAATATTTATAAAATTTCAACATTTTGTGTAATCTAAAAAAGAGTTTATGGGTCTTTTATAAGTCGTAAAATAATTTATTAATAATTATTTGTATTTATTTGAGAAAAAAATAAATAACAAAAAAAGTATTTTCTTTTAAATTATTTTATTTTTTAATATTGTAATTTAATTTTCTATTTTGTTTCTTGCAAAAACATCAATATCTTCCCAAAACTTTTCATGGCCTGAACACTGTTGAGATTCAAGAAGAGAGGGAGAGACTGAGAGAGTTTCTCTTCTTCTTCAAACTTCAATAGAGGAAACTCACACTTCACAAAAATTTTCCCACTCTTTCCCTCAGTTTCCCTCACTTCCCCACGCTGTCTCGCTATCCAAACATGGACATAACAACCAATCTCCACGGCCTCGACATCCGGTCCTCCTTTTTAACTACCTTCCAGCCCCGTCTTCGGCCATTTTACGCGGCGAAACCCTCTGCACCACTCAATTTGCTCCCAAAACAACAAAGACTCAAAATCACCGCCCAAGTCTCCACAACCATGCTCGAAAAATCGCCTGCTGAGACCGCCGAAAACGACATCGAATCGTTGTTCTCAAAGGACTCCGATGACAACAATTTTGACTACAAGAAGCGCGGAAACGGGAAACAATCAAACGGCGCGTCGAGCGTGTCGTCCGGAGTGAAGCTGGAGAATATAAGCAAGAGTTATAAGGGCGTGACTGTGTTAAAAAACGTAACTTGGGAGGTTAAGAAGGGGGAAAAAGTCGGGTTAGTGGGTGTAAATGGGGCGGGGAAGACGACCCAGATGAGGATAATTACGGGTCAAGAAGAACCCGATTCGGGGGATGTGGTGAGGGCGAAAAGTAATATGAAAATCGCGTTTTTGAGCCAAGAATTTGAGGTTTCGATGACTAGAACGGTGAGGGAAGAGTTTATGAGTGCGTTTAAGGAGGAGATGGAGATTGCCGGGCGGTTGGAGAGGGTGCAGAAGGCCATGGAGGGGGCGGTGGAGGATATGGAGTTGATGGGGAGGCTGTTGGATGAGTTTGACTTGCTGCAAAGAAGAGCCGGGGATGCGGACTTGAGTGTGTTGGATTCGAAAGTGAGTAAGTTGATGCCGGAGTTGGGGTTTGCCCCGGAGGATGGAGATAGGTTGGTTGCTTCGTTTAGTAGTGGGTGGCAAATGAGAATGTCGCTTGGGAAGATTTTGTTGCAGGTATATTTTGATGAGAAGTTTGTGTTTATCATTGTTTATGGTTACTCTTTTATGTGTATGGCTTACATGATGATGATTAGTTGGGCAAAGTTTGATTAGCTTAACTATGAGAGTGTAGTCGAAAGGAGTTTACTTCGCTGTGAAAAGCATGTTTAAATTTGAGTTTGCTAAACAAGCTTGACTGTGGAATAGCCAGTTTCAGGAGAATGCTTTTTCGCTTTTATGGTTGATTGTGTGAGATAATTTATATAGGACGCAGTGAGGATTGTTTGGTGCTGAGACAGCTCGAATGGAAGTTGTTCTAATTCTTGGATTATTGTTACTACTGTAGGGTTGCAATTGACGTTATGAATAGTATTTATGGTTTATGCTATGATGTGCGGTTATTGTTGTTTAATAGTAAGTGTAGATGACATTTATTATAATGCCTGGTATTGATGGTTCATTGTTGATGTATGTCTCTGTCTGCAGGATCCAGATTTGTTACTTTTGGATGAGCCTACAAATCACCTTGATCTTGACACGATAGAGTGGCTTGAAGGTTACCTCAGCAAGCAAGATGTGCCAATGGTTATCATATCTCATGACAGGGCTTTTCTTGATCAGCTTTGTACGAAAATTGTGGAAACTGAAATGGGTGTGGCCAGGACTTATGAGGGAAATTATTCTCAGTACGTCATAGAAAAGGCGGCATCAATTGAAGCTCAGTATGCTGCTTGGGAGAAGCAGCAGAAGGAAATTGAGCAGACAAAAGACTTAATAAGCAGGTTAGGTGCAGGGGCGAATTCTGGACGTGCTTCTTCTGCTGAGAAGGTACACTGAGATATACTGATCTTACTTAGTAGGGTCTGAGAATGTTATGAACTGTACTAATCTTAATAATTGTTTCAGCTCTTTGATATTATCAGCATTTTGTTGTAAACATAAGTTAGGGACATCACTGCAAAGCATATTTTTCATCGTGAATGGTAGAATTCATACACCTAGCACCACTTTCCTCTGGAGATCTTGAATTTATATCTTCCATGAAATGCATTTATCTCATAACATTCTTATACTTATGATTGAAAGTCTGAATTCATCCATCATCTTTTAGCTAATCAGAGACAATTCTATTTCAGTCAATACTCAATTGGTTGATTAATGGATTTTAATTTCCCTCTTTGATGCAACAATCGTTGGAGCTGGTTTTATTTTGGAAAAATATATTTGTTAGTCATTTGATACAACTATGATTAAATTGTCTCTTTCATTTTGCATAGTTTTTCTTAGGGGTGATTGGGTCTGGGTACCTTGGGAACCGAAACCGGAACCGGAACCGGTCAGTTCCTAAATTTAGGAACCGAAACTGGAACTAGAACCGACCGGTTCCTCAATTGCTTCGGGTACCCTGGATAATCACAGGTTCTGGTTTTGGTTCCGGTTCTGAGTACCCTGGATAATCACAGGTTCCGGTTTTGGGTACCCTGAATAATTATATTGGTCCCTGTAACTTTACAAAATGACAAAAAACCTGTAAAATTTACTAATGCACCCCCATTTGTTTAAATATTCTATAACAATATAACTTTTTCCTTATTAATTAATTTCAATATTTCAAATAATTTTAATATATAGTCTTACTTTTAATATATGGTGTAAGACTATATATTAAAATTATTCATAGCTTCTTCATATCCAAAATCCAAAATCCAAAATGTTCACTAGTTATGTATATAGTCTAGTGGTAAAATTTATTAAACCCCCTATGTTGTATACTATTTATGTATAAACCGCGGTTTTTTTCCTGGTTCCTTGCAGGGTACCTTGTTATCGGTTCCTAGCAGGGTGCCCTATTCTAGGTTTCGGTTCCAGTTCCTGGTTCCTAGAATGAAGGAACCGAAACCGAAACCGAAACCGAAACCGAAACCGAAACCGAAACCGAAACCGAAACCAGAACTGGTCCCGGTTCCTATTTTTTAGAACTGGAAACTACCCTGTGAAGGCCGGTTCTGGTTCCTACCGGAGCTGGGACCCCAGGTGCCCGCCGGTTCTAGATAGAACCTATTTTCATGCTCAATCCTAGACTTTTTCTGACTTGATTTTCCTTTGGTCTTGCTTCTTTTGGATGGTCTTTTGGCCTCGTAAATGACTACTAAATTAAGTGGTTGGAGATATTGATACTCAAATTTTATGAGATGGCATTTATCTTTTTCATTTTGTGGATACTGGATTCCTGAACCTAACACATCCATTTCTGAATTTCTTTTTTGGATGAGAACAGAAGCTGGAGAGGCTTCTAGAAGAGGACCAAATTGAGAAGCCATTCCAACGGAAACAAATGAAAATTAGGTTCCCAGAGCGAGGAAGAAGTGGAAGATCTGTTGTCACAATTAAGAATCTGGAATTTGGCTATGAGGATAAAGTGAGTTGACATATCGGTTTAGATTACACTAGGGAGTGGCTGCCGGAAATTTTTTTTACTTTATTTTGTCTAATACAGTTAAGTTCTTACATTAATTTGCATTTTATGCCAGATGCTGTTTAACAGGGCAAATCTCACAATTGAAAGGGGAGAGAAAATTGCCATTATAGGCCCAAATGGTTGTGGTAAAAGTACTTTGCTGAAACTGATAATGGGTTTAGAGAAGCCAAGTGGAGGTCAAGTTATTCTTGGAGAACATAATGTCCTACCAAACTATTTTGAGCAGAATCAGGTGTGCTGCTTTTGTCAAAGGTTTTTTATGTGACCTCTGTGTTACTAGCTAACGTCTGTTGTACATATTACTTGCAACTGCTGATCAGTTAAATGACTTCTCTTTTAGGCTGAGGCACTTGATTTGGATAAAACAGTGCTTGAGACAGTAGCAGAAGTAGCTGAGGACTGGAGAATTGATGATATAAAGGGACTTCTTGGCCGTTGTAATTTCAAAGCTGATATGCTTGACAGAAAGGTTTCCCTTTTGAGTGGTGGTGAGAAGGTAAATAAAAAATGGTGTGCTTTTTGATAAGTATTTTATCTCTTCTGTGAACAATTATTCAACTTTCATGGGCTTTACTGAAAGCATTGCGCTTTAAGTCTTACTGAAAACTGCTTTTATGGTTTTAGTATGTTAGTATCACATACTTTACCACCAATTTTCCATTATTATGTGTGCTTGTCCTGATTTTGTGGTTGAATTTCAACTAAATGTGGCTTGAATTTTGATTGTTTTCCCCGTCTTTCATTTAGGCTCGCCTTGCTTTTTGCAAATTCATGGTAAAACCGTCAACTCTTCTCGTTTTGGATGAACCAACTAATCACTTGGATATACCTTCAAAAGAGATGCTCGAGGTTTGATTTTTTTTCTTCAATTTTTTCTTTTAAATTATTTTCCTACGTTTATTAATTTACTCTAAATTTATTCTACAAACTCATTATTGTTCTATCAGGAGGCAATAGCGGAGTATACGGGCACGGTCATCACAGTTTCTCATGATCGATACTTCATAAAGCAAATAGTTAATAGAGTAGTGGAAGTTAAAGACTGCAATTTACAGGATTATGCCGGTGACTACAACGTATGTGCCTTCTTTTACTTTTTTCTTTCTTTCTCCCTTTCTTTAAGCTTTGATATGTTTTCTAGCTCTCTACAAAATCAAATAAACCCAGTGCAGCTCTGTATTCCGTTGCTCTGTCATGCTTTTAGTTGATTTTTTTTTTTTTTTTAATTGTATTTTTTGGTTTAATCTATGTTCTGACTCTCTGAAATTCATAATTAACAGTATTATCTAGAGAAGAACCTCGAGGCCAGGGAAAGGGAGCTTGAACGAGAGGCAGAGCTCGAGGACAAGGCTCCTAAAGTTAAGGCCAAATCGAAGATGTCAAAGGTAAGTTTGTCTCTGTAATCACACTCGCCTCATATTAGTGTGACAGCAGACTCAGTAATTTTGTTCATTTTATAACAAACAGGCCGAGAAGGAAGCAAGGAAGAAACAGAAAATGAAGGCCTTCCAGGCGGCGAAACAAAAATCAAAAGGACAGAAGAATGCTAAGAGATGGAACTGAATGTTATTTTGTTTTTTTCCTGCTTCCAATACATTTACCAAAGATCATCAATCATTGTTAAAGGTACTTCGACTGCAGAATCGTAGGAGACAATGTGGCCGATAATGATCAAGTAGCCATTCTTGTGTATATAACATAAATAGGCATACTGATTTTAGTACAAAATCAAAGGGTGAAAGGGGAAATGTTGTAACCGGAAATTTGTGCCTTGAGAAGATGTTGTATCCGAAGGCATAAACGCGAGTTCCTGAGTTTCAGGAATGTGTAAGTAAGAATTTATGTTCTATTTATTCAAGTAACCACTTTGAACCCTTTTCCAGATTTTCATGTCTCTTCAATTGACAATGGAATGTTAAACAGTTTGGGCAGATTCAGTAACACAACATGTAAAGTGTTTAAAATTTAAACTTGAAGAAACGTTAGCCTCAAAATGAAGGAGAAGAAGAGAAGAGGATTCACTTGTCCATTGCATAATATTAGATTCCTTGGATTGGGTAAAATTTCATTTGGATTGAACGCTAATATTTAATTTGATATGTTACTCAATGTTTTAATAACCATCCTAGGTGAAACCTGGCAAAGTTGCTAGATCCTAGGTTGACCGGTATAATTAGTTTGATCGGGCGGTCAAACTAGGTGACAATTTTTAAAATTAAGCAAATACATCCTTGAAAATTGTTAAGTCCCTATAGGTTTGAAATTTAGCAAACACACCCTAATACAAATCGGTCGGTGACTGTTTGGCGACACCCTAAATGTAATCCCAATCGTCCCTTGAGCCAATTTCCTAGAAAATCTACCCAAGATTTGGCTGAAATTAGTTTCGAACCAAATCTCACCAACACCGATGTCGGTATTGCACGTCAGATCTCATCGACGCCGACGTCGACAACCCTCCCGATCTTCAATTGTTCGCCATCATCCCAAATTCTAGGGTTTTGAGTGAATAGGGAAAATGTTAACTCGGCTCGTGAAGCTCCCGGGTCCCAGTTAAATCGGTCGGGCTAAACTGGGCCTGGTTTTAAAACAGTGATGATACTTATTCGATAACATTACATATTCTAATAATATTATTGAGTTTTCATAAAATATTAATAATAACAATATTATAACCCGAACTCGCTGACAAAATTTAACATTAAAGTGATTTTGGGTCCATTTGTTTTGTTATGATAAGATTTTAGAACTAATATTGGGTAGTTGAATAGGGTGAGTATTACGAGGTAAAATTTAAAAATTCACAAAAAAACCCTTTGATGCGTTGGAAAGTTTAGCCAGAGTGTAAAGAAAAGGGATGTATAGCATATTCGTTGATTGTCCCAACATAAGTGTAGGTAAAGTCTTGGTTTTCATAGGGTATGCGTTGGAAAGTAAAAATGACATGTGAAGACTGGAGGTTTTCTCTGTTGCAGAGGGTCTCTTTTGCTTTGAAAAGGCTTATCCAACAGGATATGGGATAAAACCATTCAAGAAAGGTTTGAAAGAGATAAGCCTGAAAGTTGGGCAGGACACGCCTTTTGAGGAGACACAAATATGATGCCATCTGTTGTATGGGAAATTCTATGGCAATGATGTACTTATACAGTAAACACCATAACAAGTACAGGAGGTGCGGTGTGAAGATGGTATCTTCACTGAGTAAGAAAAGAGTCAGAAAGGGGTAGCCTGGATGATAGTGGAGACCTCCAAGTGTATCTAATCCAGTGGCTTGAATAGTTCTGGTTTGGTACTGTTGGGTAAGGTTATATATCTGTAGATGTAGAGTGTTTGTTTTACGGAGTTCTAGGATCTTAGGTTGTTGGTCAGAGACAAGGTTCATCATACAAATAACAGGGACGGATGGCGTCCGAGCAATGTGAAAATCTAATTTGGGTTTTTTGGGACGGGACAACATGTCTGCAAGAGTATTATGTTTCCCTTTGATATGTTTGACGTCAAACTGGTATTTTGAGAACCATTGAGCCCATCGAAGCCGTTGGCTATCTGGAATTTCCTTCTGTTTGAATTCAAGCATTCGAGGAAAAGAGGACATATCCATCTCAACTTGGAAATGGTGGCTGACAAGGTGGAATTCAAACTTTTCTATACCACGTCTTACTGCAAGTAATTCCTTGTAGCTTGAGTGATAATGTTCTTCACTGGGCTTGAAATGTCCACTCTTATATCCACAAATTTTTCTAACTCCATCAATTTCTTCGAGAAGAATGGCAGACCAATGAGAATCACTAGCATCTGTTTGGAGTATACGCTTTCCATTGGAAGGAATATGGAGAGGAGGTCATTTAGAAGCGAGATCCTTCAATCTTCTGACAGCTGTTGTCTAATCAGGGCCCCACGGGGGTGGATTCTTTTTTAGCATGGCTTGCAAGGGTCACACCAGGGGAGATAATTTATGTATGAAGGAGGCCATATAAGTCACAATGCCAAGAAATTTTGGACTTCTTTGAGGGAAAGGTTCTCATCTGGAAAGTTAAGAAGCTCTTGGCCAATGTGGGGTTGATGTTGATATTGCCCATTGGTAATGTGCATGCCAAGGAAATCAATGTCCGTAGTGTTGACAACCATTTTCTTTTCAAACAGCATTACGCCATAGTTTTTGAGAAGGGAGTAAAATTGGAACAAGAGAGCTTGGTGGCTAGAATGGTCAGGAGAAAAGAGAAGAATGTCATTGTTATGCCTGGAAAATCAAGGGCTGACGTTGGAAGTCACGTGGTGAAGTGTGACCTGCTCCCGTTAGAACGGTAAGCGCACGTCAGGCCTGCCAAACGCTATGAAGCTCCCACGTGTCCATTTCCCTGCAATAAATCGCGTGAAATCAGCTTGGGAAGTGGGCAATGGGACGTAAAGCCGGATTATGTCCTGACACTCACACCAACCCATGGATTTAAAGATAATTACACGCCTTCATCTCGTTATAAAAAGAAGAAGAACCCTTTATTAAGGGGATTCGACCATTTTTACACTTGAACTCTCTCTCTCTCTTTCTCTCTCTCTTGAAAACTTTATACTTACTTTTTCTAATCATTTGTAAGTCAGTCCGCTGTGGCGACCTAACCCACAATATCAATACAAATCAGTGGACGTAGGACTTGCTACCTTAGCATCTGAACCACTTTAAAAAGCTCTCATTGCATTTATTTCACATTTTCTTTCCATAATCACATGTGTCTCTTGACCAATCAATGTTACGCACGTGTCGATTAGTTATTGTTAGAATCAATTCATCAACAGTTTGGCGCTAGAAGGAGGGCCTGATTTGGTATTCATCCTTCATCAGGAGAATCTTCAACCTACTGGTCCTACAGCAACAAATGGCCCGCCAATCTGAACCTAAGCAAGCCAACCAGCGCGTTGAGAGAGTCCCCCTAACCCAGGGGGATACCCCTTCCAGGATAATCCCAGTTTCACAAAATGCTACGGGGGATATCCCGGCAGCTTCGCAGCTTGACCCCGCCATTAGAAGCTACCTGGAGAGGTTCGATAATACTTTCCAGATGGTCAACCAGAGGCTGAACCGTTTGGACCAAGGCATGTCATCTACAACAGCTGGGGCGGTGCAACCGCCAAAAACGCCTGCAGGTCACGCGAAAGCACGGCAAAGGGAAATAGCCCGTGCTGCAAGCACTGCAGCGCGTAGACGTAAGGGTAAGCAAGTGGCAAAAAGTAAGCCTACGGGCTCCCAAGGACCAGCGAACACAAACCGTGCCCTGAGCAGGGTGCTAGCAAAGCTGAGACTTGGTGAAAAAGTGAATCCCGAGTTGTCCTATGCCATGTCGCAAGTGAACCCAAGCAAAGGTGCCAGGCGCTACGATTCCTATCACCGCCAGCAGAATGATCCCGATCGCTATCATGCGGGTGGTCTGCACACCTCGCGGGGCGGTTCATACCACCGCGAGGGTTGTGAAAATGCCTCGCGCGATCCATCGCCTTCACACGCCTCTAGTCAACGTGTGTCGAGTGCGGCTAGAAATGCCGACCGAGGCGAAGAGGAATCCAACCTCCAGACTTTCCTGAACCGTAATCGTGAAGGTCGGACTCGCATGGGTGAAAGCAACCCCCAATTAGCTCAGTTACCACAAATTGAGGAGCTACAGCGAGCTCTGGACAAGTTAAGGGAGCAGTAATGCGAACAGGCCCAGGTCGCCTCTGCATCCCTTTTCTCTCCCGAAGTGCTTGCTGCTCCACTCCTACCGGGGTTCAGAATGCCCGACATGCGACCATTTGATGGGAACCATGACCCACAGGATCATTTGTATGAGTTCAACGACCTGATGGAGCTCCACCAAGTTTCGGACCTTGAAAAATGTCGTTGTTTGGCCGTGACGCTGACTTCTCACGCCAAGCGGTGATTAAGGTCGCTCCCAGCGGGATCGATTAGTTCGTGGCCTCAGATGAGCATGATGTTCCTACGACATTTCCAAGCAAATCGAAAGTTTTCGATTCCTTTGAGCTACCTCAGAAACATAAGGCAAGAAAGAGACGAATCCCTGCAATCTTATATCGACCGTTTCCACAGGGAACTCAATAAGGTGGCTCATGCCCCAGAAGTGTCCATCCAAACACTTATAATAGCTGGAGTTCGCCCGCAAACCGACCTGTGGAAAGAACTGCAGGCTGAGGACGATGTTTCCCTCATCAGATTTTACAACCTTGCAGAAAAATATCTCCGAATAGAGAATTCATTGGCGGCACTCTACTGTCGCGATCACGGCACTTCAAGCAGTATGTTTGGTCGGGGAGAAAATAGGAGAGCTGATCGCAAATGAGACATTGATGATCAGCGAAAAGGGAAGAAACCCCGCTACAAACACAAGAAGTCCTATGCTCCTGTTCCTCGTCACGACCGGGACAGAGCTCAATACACTCCGCTGAACGTGTCCATATCTGTAATCCTTGACAAATCCGAGGAGGCCAGCGTGCTCGGTGAACCGGAACCCATGAAAATCCCTACTACGGCCAGGAACAGCTGGCCTGATGGTACTCACCTCTCTTGTCACAAGTACTTAGCCTGCAGGTCTTGTGTTCGAGAGGTGGGGAAGGCGAAAGAAACCCACTTGCAGGGGTGGGGATATTCCTATGAGTGGGCCGCATGGGAAAGCCCCTTGCCCGACGGCCCAAGGGCGGGGTAGTTGAGGGATAGCCCATGGTCCTCACAATAAAAAATACTGTCGTTTCCATCGGGATAACGGGCATCATACTGATGAATGTCGAGCTCTAAAGCAGGCAATCGAGGAGCTCATCAAGAAAGGGCACTTCAAAGAGTATATTGATGACTCTCCAAAAGAGAACCAAGGGGAGCAGAAGAAAAAGCG